AGAGAGAGAGTGTGTGTGTGTGTGTGTGTGTGTGTGTGTGTGTGTGTGTGTGTGTGTGTGTGTGTGTGTGCAAAGAGTTAACCTGTCGAACTCCTTGCTGCAGGAGGCTGTGAAGGCTAGAACTGGAACAGAGTTTAAAGGGAAGTGAGATCAAGTCATGGAGGTTGGGTCCATGGAGGGCCATTAGCCAGGGGGTAGGAGTGGTGTCCCTGCCCAAGGTTTGTGGAAGGCTGGAGAGGGATGGCACGAGACAAATGGCTTGGTCACTGTCTTCGGTCCATCCCCTCCAGGGTCCCTAGGGTTGGCCGCTGTCGGCATACAGGCTACTGGGCTAAATGGACCTTTAGTCTGACCCAGTACGGCCATTGTAAGCTCAGGGCTCAGGGTCGGGGGTCTCAGTGGACCCCCTTGATTTTCATGCACACCTGCTCCTGGGTGGCCAGGCTGGCAGCTCTCCTGCCCTAGACGGCCACTTTCCTGTGCCTAGTGCGGAGGTCGTGGACGAGGTCCACGATGTCCACACTAGACCAGGCTCGTGCCCGCCTCTTGCGGTCCTGGGCAGGCTCCTGAGAGCCGCCAACCTGGTCCCGGGAGGAGGGGTCCACGATGTCCGCACTAGCCCAGGCGGGTGCCCGCCTCTTGCGGTCCCGGGCAAGCTCCCGGGAGCCGCCAGCCTGGTCCCGGAAAGAGGGGGAGAGCTGGGGGGCATCGGGTGGGTGGCTCGATCCGTGCCAGGCCTGGTGTTGGCCAGAGTGGCCACCAGGGAAAGCTGGGGAGGGCTAGCCTCCCACTAGTTCGAATTAAGGGGCTACACACCCCTTAATTCGAACTAAGCGCTCCGTTAGTTCGAATTAAATTCGAACTAACGGAGCGCTAGTGTAGCGCCTATGAAAGTTATTCGAACTAACTTTGTAGTGTAGACATACCCTAGGAGAGTGGTGAAGCACTGGAATAGGGTACCTAGGTAAGCAGTGGAGTCTCCATCCCTAGAGATTTTTATGTCTCAGCTTGACAAAGCCCTGGCCGGGTTGATTTAGCTGAGATTGGTTCTGCCTTGGGCAGGTGACTGGACTTGATGACTTTCTGAGGTCTCTTCCTAGCTCTATGATTCTATGATCCTAGCTAATAGCCATTGATGGACCTAACTTCCATGAATGTATCTAGTTCTTTCTTGAACCCTGTTAAATTCTGATCTTCACAACCTCCTTTGGCAAGTAGTTCCACAGGTTGACCATGCCTTGTGTGAAGAACTTTCTTTCGTTTATTTTCAACCTGCTACCTATTAATTTCATTTGGTAACCCCTAGTTTTTACGTTATGGGAACAAGTAAATAACTTTTCCTTATTCATTTTTTCCACACCAGTCATGATTTTATAGACCTCTATCATATCCCCCTTCGTCACCTCTTTTCTAAGATGAAATGTCCTAGTCTTTTTAATCTCTCCTCATATGGGACCCGTTCCAAACCCCTAATTATTTTTGTTGCCCTTTTCTGAACCTTTTCCCATGCCAATATATCTTTTTTGAGATGAGGCGACCACATCTGTATGCAGTATTCAAGATGTGGGCGTACCATGGTTTTATACAGAGGCAATAAGATGTTCTCTGTCTTATTTTCTGTCCCTTTTTTAATGATACAAGAGTGAAACAAAAGCTAGGGATAAGTACTGTATTATATCAGGCCCTTACCTACGCTAGGATCACTTTGCCATAGGGGTGTTAATCTTAGAATAATTAACTGAATAGTCGATGGGATTTCCGTCAACTATTTGATTAGTCTATTAAGGTGCCTCCACCTTTGAGCCCTACCAGGCTCTTTCTATAGTTCAAAAGCGGAAGCAAGGAGCTTCCTTTTGATATGTACAAGAGCCCCATTAGCAGGGAACGCCTCTGGTCCTGCTCTCCCTATGGTTCCTTAGCCTTTGAAATGTACAAGAGCCCCCCCAGCTCCTGTATGTAAACCTGGCCTTAGAGCCATAAGTGAAGGAACAAATATGTTCCACATATAGAGAGCTGATGAGATGGTGAGATGGAGGAAGGTTGTTCTAATGGTGTGGAGATGAAGGCTTTCTCACCTTCTGTGGGTGGATTGGGGAGGGATGCAGAATCTGGAAAGGGCCCATTCCAGGATGGATGGAAGAGATAGTAGAGAAGTGTCCATTTAGAAACGCAGCTAATCAAAGGTTTTAAAAGCCTTGGGAAAATGTTAAACAAGATCTTGAAATGTGGGAATTTAACCTCTGACCAAATTGTGGTGCTTTTGTCACTTGCAGATGAATATTAGTGAGAGTTCTCTTCAGTTTTTCAGACTTTCTAATGACTAATTTCTTTACTAAACCATGGCAAAGATGTTTTGTCTTGTCACCCCTAGGATTGTTGTCAACATATATTCTTTGAATAAAGCTCCCGAACAAGAACCATTTGTATGGTTTTTTTGTTTCATTTTGTTTTTTATGAGAGAAAGCTAAGATAAATTTTAATCATACTACTTCCATACTACTAATTCAGCTGTTTATCTTGATTTTTATCTTGAGATTTGTTTTAAGGAAGTAGGGAGAACTAAATTTAAAAAAATATAGTAATCCTTAATCCTAAACTACTTTCCATTTCAGGGAATAATAGTTGGACTGTTTTGTCAACATCATTTAAACATTTGAAAAAAATCTGGTTATTTTTTTATCTTGATGTTTCCCTAGTAATTTTTTCATTGCATTAACAAAAGTGCCTTGCATGTATTAAGACAAATGGGTTCTGAGCAATCTGAAATGCATTTATTTAGGGTTAGTTTCCTGTTTAAATCCAGAATTGCAGACTTTCTAAAATGAGTAGGTAAGGCACGTACTTCCCCCAGTCATTCCTAATATATTAGATTGGTGGCACATGCTCCTGTAAACTTTGCAAGGACCTCATCATCTTCTCTTTGCTTACTCAAGCAAGGCTCCCACAGTGCTCACTGGGACTTTTGCCTGGCTAAGGTATATGAGATCAGGCCCGAAACCAGGGTGTGCACATGTAAAAATTTCAAATCATGACCTAATTATTTTTCTCTTTCTAGGAATTACAGGCATCGATCAGGTGTTAAATGTTCTTCTCACTACAGCCATGTTTGTCGGTGGGTGTGTGGCCTTTATTTTGGATAACACCATTCCAGGTCAGTTTTGTGAAGTTACTGTAGCTGTATTTGAAATTGAATGGTTTCACCTGCCTTTCTGAATGGTGGTTCTCACTGTTAAGTGGCAGACAGCATAGCTTGGAGGTTAGAACACAGAACTGGCATGCAATAGCTTTCCTATCCCTATCTTTAATTCATTGATGCCTGTGATGCCTTAGGGCTGTGGTCCCCAACACGGTGCCCACGGGCGCCATGGCGCCCGCGGGGGCTTTTGTCTGCGCCCGCCAAGTGCTCAGGGCTGGCCTGGCCCCGGGCACGTGGCGCATGCGTGGTGCCGGAGCCGGTCCGGGCGCGTGGCGCGCCCTTAGAGGGGGCCCCGGCCACGGGCGCGCGGCGCTTGGGGGGGCGCCAGCCCCGGGCGCGTGCTGCTTGGGGAGGGGTGCTGGCCCCAGGTGTGCGGCCCTTGGAGGGGGCACCGGCCCCGAGCACGTGGCTAAGGGGGGGGTCCCTGCCCCCAGGCACGCGGCTATGGGGGGGGCTCCGCCCCCTGGTGCACAAGTGTCCCCGCCCTCTGGCGCCTGGCGGGCGAACGGCCACGCCCCCTGGCGCCCGGCAACCTCAAATGATTGGGGACCACTGCCTTAGGGCGTGTCTCCACCAAGATGAGATCAGTGCTGTGGCAATTGATCCACCATAGGTCTGTTTAGTGGGTCTAGTAAAGATCCGCTAAATCGACCATCGGTCACTGTCCCATCGAGTCTGGTACTCCAAGGGAGCGAGATAAATAAGGGGAGTCAATGGGAGAAACTTGTGGAACCCATGGTAAGTAGATCTAAGCTATGTCAACTTGAGTTACACTACTAAATAACTCAAATAGTGTAGCTTAGGGTCAACTTTTCCCCTTAATGTAGACCTTTCCATAGACAAATCATTTAATATCACTGTGTGGAAAAGGCAGTGTAAGTTAAAAGATGTATTGATGATTGATTAATCAAGGAAAAAGAAAGATGTCACTTTCTTAGGTAGATCATATGCAAGGCCTAATCCTACTTCCATCATGTCACCATTGACTTAGTGGTGCAGGGTCAAGTCTGTACTAGAAGTTCTGTTTTTCCCTCCCTGTGAATACTATGTAGCTTAGTGGATTGACTGCTTGCAGAACATGTTGTCTTTGAAGTAGAATGAGGTTTCCCCCCCCCTTTTTTAAATTTAATTTCAGGAAGCCCGGAGGAGAGAGGAATCCAGAAATGGAAGAAGGGTGTGGGCAAAGGAAGCAAGTCCCTGGAGGGCATGGAAACATACGATTTTCCCTTTGGCATGAACTTTATCAGAAAGTACAGGTGCTTCAGCTTCTTGCCCATCAGTCCCACCTTCATGGGCTACACGTGGAAAGGCTTCAGGAAAAGCAGTAACTGCAGGAGTTCGGACGAAGACTCTGAGGCTACTGTATAGCCTTGGTTGCAATGTTATTCTCTCGTTGTAGTAACAGATGTATTTGCAGTTTCTTGCTGATTAAGAAGCATTGAAATATATGTTTTGTATATCTGCATTTAAATTCTGGAACCAGAGCTGAGACATTTTAAAAAAGGCTTTCCTGTTGTGGATGGTGATGGCTATACATAGTGTTTCTGGTTACCGATCTGGAGTCTCATTTTCAGAAGAGGTTTAGGTCCCTAAGTGCCTACCTCACTTTTGAAAATGGAATTTAGGCTCCTAAATTACTTAGGGGCTTTGGAAAATGTTATCCTCTGTGATATTTTATTTAAATCCTCAGTGCTGGTGTTTTGGGCACACCCATTACTGGCAGAGTTAGCTGGGCCAGAAAATTTGAATCCTTGTGTGAAATGAATAAATAACACTTGTAAACACAGATACCAGAATCAACTCAGTTGTGTTTTTTCCACTCAGCCAATTGTAAGTCAGACATTACATTGCAATAGGTATATCATTAGAATACCTTCCCAATCAATGACAATTCATTCAGAGATTTCCTTACTAAATTACACCTGATAAAAAGCACCAATTGATTCATGTGATCTACTACTGTGCACAAATAACTTGGATATCTTTTAGATATGATTGCTCTGGTCTGCATCGCAGCTAGCCATATAACTTTTGCCTGAGACCAAGTTCTCTCTCTCGCTCTCTTTTTTTTTTTTTTTTTTTTAAGGGAAGTATCAATTTTATTTTTACATGAAGGGAGCTATTTAACTTCCAGACTGTTACATTTTCCTAGCACAGCAGCTTTTACAGGTTTGATACAGTGCATAGATCTACTTCAATCACAGAATCTTCCTGAATGAAAATGTGAATTTGTCAAAGCAACCCCTTTATGTAGAAATCAACAGCGCAAAATACGAGCATATGCCTATTCAGATTTGTACCTAATTTTTTCTGCTTTCTCAGACTATCTCGGTCTTACTAGCACTGCTTGAAGCCTATGTATTTTGTTGCCTTTTTTTCCCAGTGTAAGGACTTACACAGCAGCTTTTTGGTTTTACAAGTGGATTTTTAAATAGCAGAGACACTACATTTGGCATCATCATCCACTGGGAGGGTTTTAACGGGTATTGGGCCCAAAAACGGTGCCATTCAAATTTTTTTTCTGGAGTAGCCTCAGCTCTGATGTTACGTGGGTGTTAATGCTCATCCTGCATTCATAATTCTAAGGTTTTATTCATGTTTAATGTTCTTACTATTGCAAGTTAGTTTTAGACGTCAGTGTTTCAGTGTGGCCCAAAAAGCATTTTTAAGCTGTGGAGATCATCAGGGAAGTGTAGTGTAATGTATTCAAGGCCAGTATGCTCTACAATGCTTGCGTTCTGTATCTCTGGATAAAAAATAAAGGTAGATACTGTAATTCACTAATATATTTATCAAAGTTGACTACTGGACAAGAGCAGTACATTTGTTATTGAAGCATGGAAGGGCTGGGGTGGGGGAGGGGAGGAAAATTGCTTAACGGATCAGTATTGAATAGTGCAGAGTCAAAATGATTCCATTGATATAATTTTCAGCATGTCATGGCTGTTTATGCAACATATTTTATACAGTTTTTCCATAACAAACCATGTATTTGTTCTTGCTCCAAAGAACTTTCAGTAGTTTGCAGTTTTGGTGTCAGTTGGCCTTTGCTGAAAGCCAGTCAGGAGAATTGTTGTGTAATAGACAAGGTTATGTCACCTGTAGTGCAAAGCTGCTCTTGTGTTTTCTAATTTGCTCTACAGGCAATGAGAGTGTTACGGAAATTACCCATCTCCCTAGGAATGGATTTGGCTGAGAGCGCTGATCAGTAACACTAAATTTCTAAATTTTCCATCTTTTGTTTTATGTACAACCAAAGATGTGAGTTAGGGTTCATTTTAAAAAAAAACCACTTGTTTGATGTGGTTCTAATCACATAAAATGCCAAAGCTGGTTATTTTATAAATGTGGAGTCAAGGAGGCAAAATTTGGAATTTAAGATGATGCCACTACTTAAAAACAGACTTCAAGATACTTAAAATCACACAGTAGATTGGTGCCGGGGACTCAGCAGTGAATGCCATGCTTGAGGCTTGTCTCATCTTTTCCCAAAAGAGTGGTTGAATGTGAGGAAACTAAAATCTTACAACTACTTCAGGAACAATTTGGCTCCCTTACAGGATTGCTGGGAGAACACTTACATGTTAACCCTTTAATCCCAGGCAGTTTGTGCATTCTTATATTAGCATGAATGCATCATGCAGTGGCAGACAACGCAATATGAAATCCCTGATTTGAAAATTAAACAGAATTTATCCTACAAGATCTTTCTTTGGATGAAGTAAAGCTATATAGTCTGAAATGGCTTATTTACTTTAACATGTTGTGAAAATCAATCACTTCAGGTAGTCTTTAGATGCTGCGTGGTAGTTTGAATCAAATGATATTTCGATCATCATTCTGAGGACTTGTGTTTTGGAGCTATAGTGCCATCCCTTAACAGAAGAAAATGACAGATTATGTAAAGCCAGAGCTGCCTCCATCTAAAGTCTTGTTAGATTTTAATTCTTCTCTGGTCCTATCCCACTGATTCCATTGACCGACTGAGAGGAGTTTAGCAAAGTGTATGCTATATTTAGCATGTCACAAAGTTTAGCTGACATGTTTTGCTTTTCTAGCCACTTTGACTTGGCAACACGAAAACTAGCATTTAATGTGGTTGAGCAGTCATTTTGCAATCAAAATCCTGAAGCATTTAGTTTGACAGAGGTGACTTTTTGAATCCTCTTCTTTTCAGAAAGCTAATGGTTAAAATTGAGCCTTAATTTTGCAAGAGAACTGAAGAAAGACTGGTTGTAGCAATGGGTTTTAACAAAGTCACTGGCAGTACATTGAACATATGATGTTAACTGTAGCACCCAGAATGGTAGATGTCTGTCTGTGTATCAGCATTTTCAGATAAGGGTAGGAAAAAAGGTCATATGCAGTTTTGCCTTGGGAAAAAAAATTCCCCTTCCTTCTGTGTGTCTGTTTCTGAGAAGAATCTAGAATTGCAAATCAAATACTAAGTTTTAATACCCTCGTTTATGGTAGGAGAGTCCATTCCTTCCCCACACACACAACAACAAAACACTTTACATTTTAATTTTAGTTAGAATGGTGTTTGAAATGTGGTGAGCTTTAGGTGATGCAAAGTTTACAACATGAGATGCAATAGTATTAGCTGCAGACAGATATATTGCAGTTTTGCTCTGTAATTCTGAAAAAAACAGTTGGATATTTAAGTTTCTTGTTTACGTTTATATTTGGAATAAGTTGATGTGGGAGGTGGGAATAGAAAAATGGTTGTTGCAATACTACATTTTTGCTGTATACATAATTGCCTTTTTCATAGATAAATCAGACAGTACTGTGTAAAGAAAATAATAACTACTAGAAGGACTAGAAAAAGATGAGTTTCAACCAGATATAAATATAGAATGGTAAATATTCATGGCAAAATATCATTTTGTCATATCAAAGGTATATAAATATATTCAAAGCTAAATAGCTTTGGGGCTTTTGTATCCAATCTTTTATTGTATTGATCTTTTTTGGTTAAATTAAGAACTCTTGCTAAAAAAATTTCTAAATAAAACACTGACAAATTGTATGTCTTCAAAATTACATTTCATAGCGAATTTACCTATTACTGACTAATATCATGTTAGGGTTTATTGACTGACTAGCTTGTTCAATAACCTGTTGGGGAAAGCTTCACTTTTTTTTCTTCCCAGTTCATTCCCTGGGATTTACTTTACACCTTTTAATACTGACTTTCAATGTGGCAACTTGGTCTGTACATGAATATTGCAGTATTTTATTTCCATATATTAAAAATAACATTTTCACTCAGGATAATTTTCATAGGTTTCCTGGGAGGGAGTGGTATGATTGTCATGACAATGTCATGTGATGATAGAATTTCTTCATTGACGAATCTATAGTAGTTGTGTATACTTTATTTACCTATGTTTGTTATTCCTGAAAACTAAAGGGTTTCTTATTGTTCACCTCCCTACTGAAATTGTGTTGCTCACAAAGTAGAATCAACACTTTCAAACTGAAATCCTTAGTACTATTTATATCACCAGGTGTCAGTCAGGTGAGAACAATCAGTTGTGGCAATATCTTCATACCAAAACAGTGTCAAAAATATTCAGTAGCTTAATATCACTTGTGGTATAAACAGCACTACAGGCACATGTGGTTTAGAAACAGCCAGCTTTTGGTGCTTTAAGTTAGCCATTGGATGTTTACACACAATCCAAAGCAGCTTGTGTGAACGTAATTTAGGTATAAATAAAAATGCATGATTGACCAGCACAACCAAATTTTTTTAAGTGGCCTCTTTAAACCAAAAGTTCACACTGTTTCCACTTCAGGAAATCTTCCAGTGGTTTGTTTCCCATTTTGGTGTCTCTCTCCTCGGGCTTATTGCTCAGCTTAGGTTAACCTTCCTGAACATGGATAGCAGATATTGCATGTCCACCTCTTACCGAGCTCTACAGTAGGGCAGTACAGCACTGGAGGAGACCCCATTTGCCAAATTTAGTTTCTGCCCATGAGTCTTCTCTCCAATACAACTTAGTGCTGGGCTGCTTTAAGTATTGGGGATTCATATTTAGTACCATCCAAACCATTCCTGTCTGGTTACAATTTGATTGTGACTGTGAATTGTCATCGGTACCTATTAATATCAGATATAATTTTCACTTGCCTCATGTGTTAGCTGGCATTTATTATGACATCTTGTTGCCAGTCCAAATTATTGTACTGTATCTGTTTATAACAACCTTTGGCATCACAAACTATTGACTGTTCTTAGACAGTGGGGATAAGATTTTTTCCATGAGAATTTTTTTTTTTTGTGACTGACTTTGGCTGTAAACATTTTTTTGTTGTTGTTGTTCTATACCAAGGATTTTCTGTTTGTTTTTTTAATTTTATTTTTTGAGATGTGTAATTCTTTTATGGAGTTTTTAAAAAAATCATATTTTGTTTTTCTAACATTGCTTCATTAAACATTTAAATATTTAAAAATATGTAATATTTGGACCAGATGTTGTGAATAATAGTAGATAAAGCTATTTTATTCTGTATTTTTAAAGCCGTTCAGTATAAATAAACGCTGACATAGATGCAACTTGGCAATTTGTAGTATTCATTTTTTAAGAAATATGGAACTTGTACAACTTGGCTTATTTATAAATTGTTTTTATAGCAGTGTCTTGAGTCTTCCAGCTGAGAGCCACGCAATGCTAGGAGCTGTACAATTACACAGAAACAGCTCACAGGCTTACAATCCTAATTGACAAGATGAGCAAAAGGCAGGAAGGAAAACAATCACAGAGTGGATCATTAGGAGAGCTTGGAATAGAGGCCCCCTCCTTCTGGTTTCCAGTCCATTGCCCTGTCCACTTGACTACAGTGTTTTCCTCAATCTAGTGTAAACAATCTGTGAACAGATCCTAAGAAAATGTTTGTTTTCCTATTTTACTCCCTACCAGCATCTGAGTAGGCCAAATAGCTGTTCCAGGGCTTTTGATATATTTCTAATGGTTTTGAAAACAGCAGAGGTGATGGATTACAGATGCCAGAAATCAAACTGTAACCCTCCCTCATGCTGCGTCCTAACCGACAAAAAGAGCATATGGTTGGCTGCCCTTAAGCAACAGTCTGTCTAATAAAAAGTTAAAACACAGATAATTGCACCGTCTGTACTGGTTTCTGTTCTGTAGCAGTGTGATTTGAAGAGGGCATATCTCTTCTGCCTCCCTCTCCAGCTTTGTATAGTCTGTTCCGAAGTAGAAAGGAAGATGGCTCTGGGGTGTTCAGCTTGAACATTTGATTGCAGAACTTACTATTATAGCACTCAAAAGTGTGCACTCTCCTAATTTCTGATTCAGCCGGTTGCTTTTGCAAGAATTGGATGCCCCTGTTTACAAAGCATACATAAATCGAAGGAAATATCTGAATGATAAAAGCTCAAACAAGGTAGTTTAACTTTGACCCTATCTATTGAGGGAGGAATACAGTGAGTGGAGCTTCACAACTGTCAGTCAAAATCTCTAAGAACGATCTTGTCAGGGATGTTCCAGGAAATCAGGTTTTTTTTAAATTGTGTCCTCATCAGTAAAACAAATAATGACCAAAATAATCCCCTTTTATGCTATTGATTTTTGATCCACTGGTATAGCTTGCATCATTGCCAGAAGGTGCTGCTGGCTTGTTACAAAACAGCAATGGAAAAGTTTAATGGTTCAGTGTAGGCTTCAGTTTAGTCACAGTAGGATGCAGTTCAGGCAGACAGCAGGAAGCAGTTGGGCATCTGATTTGTTCAAGAGCAAATCAAAGAAGAGGTTTGTAGCTGAGCTACTTGGAGGTGCATGTCCAGTGTACTCTTGGCTAATGTCATCAGTTGGTATCCCTGTGGGCAGCTGGTACTTTAACAATGTCAGGTACCTGCCCTGGAAGCTTCTGCACCCCTGTCTCACTTGCTCTGGCCTTGGTCTATCTCAGTGGATAGGTACTCACGTCATGTCCTTTCCCCCAGAGCAATACAGTCAAGAGTCTTTTCCCCTGCCAAGATCCAGCAAAGGCAGGACCTTGGACAGCTGCTAATTGAGGAACCAGGATCAGAGGGATCTGGCCCTGCATCTTTGATTCCGGCTGGAGAACTGTGGGGTGACATGCTCTAGGAGTTATACTGTGGGAGTTCTCTGGCCTGTGGAACCCACCGTGGTTCCATCTGGGCTTGGAGTCTGATGCTGTTCACATTCGTTCCATGGAAGCAGAGAGCCTCTGAGACCACAGGTGTAGAGTTTACTTTTGATGCGGCTGCACGATTCTTTGGTGTAGTCCTGTGGTCCTGACAGCTGGATGACGACAAAATAATCCTTTACAAGAGGCCATTCCAATTGCCTTCCCCCTGCTTCTGAAAATCAATGACAGTTCTACAGTACAAGGAAGCAGTGTGGTCCCTCTCATAGTTAAAAAGAAGGGCTGGATGTCAGGAGGCCCAGCTTCCATTTCTTATTTTGCCCCAACCCACTGAGTAACCAGAGGAAACTTACTTAGGGCTTGATTGCCAGGGAGTTGCTCATGTACCTTTGAAAATCAGTTATTTAATCTCCATTTCCAGGGACAGAACTTCCCCTGGTTGCAGGGACTGAGAGAGCCATGGCTTGCAGGGTATTCAATAAACACATTGAGCACTGTGGAGAGATGCCATAAGGCACACATATATATCCAAAACAGGATGCCACCACCAGGAGGTCTTTGACTATGGGCTGTGTGGGAGGGGGTATTGAAGAGGAAGGGCAAAGGGAGTTTGCTGCATGCTCTTTAAAGGCCAGTGGTGCCCCAATTCTGTGAGACTGGAAGTTGCTGGAAGAGAACCTGGCTCATTCCCAGATGTGCTGCAATACTTAAGTGTGTAGACTGATGATGATGTAACTTGGTTTCCCAAACCAGCTGTTTCAGTGTGGAGGAGCCCAGAATCCCTGGTAGGGACTTGAGTGGGTAATTGTTTCAGGGAGGATTTTGAAATGTGTTTTGATTCAGAATAAAAACCCCAGATTTCCAAATTCTGAGAGAGTTTTTGCACAAGAAGCTTTTTGTGGGAGAGATCTTCTGCAAACCTTCTTATGCAAAAGCGTGTCCAGACCGTAAAAGCGCATCACAAAAGCAATGTGCTTTTACACAAGAAAGCGTCCACACTGCATGGATACTCTTGCGCAAGAAAGCTCTGATTGCCATTCACAGAAGGGCCATCAGAGCACCTGTGCTTTTTGTTAGGCTCTTTTTGTGCAAGAAGCCCCTGCAGAGCGTCCACATGTGCCTTTTTGCACAAGAGCTGTAGTGCAAAAAGGAGTTATGCCTCGTAGGGAGAGAAATAACTATCGGCAAAAGCCCTCTGTTGTGTCGATTTACGGTAATTTTTTGCGCAAAAACACACTTCAGGTGTGGACACTCTGCTGATTTTTGCGCAAAAACCTTGTAGTGTAGACATAGCCTTGGACTCTGACTTCTAATGGAAATAGGAGGAACTTAACCCAAACTTCACCCTCTGACAATACTTGGTGCTACTCTTGGAGGGGGTTTTAAAAAAATCCTGAAATTTGTCTTTGAAAATTGTATGGGTTTTCAGTCTTTCCTTTTGCCTTTAAAAAATTCACTTTTCAAATAAAAAGTTTCATTCAAGTAAAAAGTTGGCTTAGAAATGTTACCTTGAGAATCTTACCGGCCTTTTCAAATTTTTTATTACAAGTTTTGGGAAAAAATGGTATTGGCTGAGCACAAAGAGGACTCATGGGTAATGCCCCTCTCTCTCAGGGGCTAAACCCCTCTGCCACCTGAGACCGCCCTTCTCTGAGCCTCCAGCACATCTGTTTCTGCCTTGTCCACATCCTTTCTGTACTGCCAAGAATTGGACGCAGTACTCCAGATGTGGCCTCACCAGTGCCAAACACAGGAGAATAATCACTTCCCTAGATCTGCTGGAAATGCTCCTCCTAATGCACCCTCATATGCCATTAGCCTTCTTGGCTGCAAGGGCGCACTGTTGACTCAAATCCAGCTTCTTATCCACTGTAATCTCTAGGTCCTTTTCTGCAGAACAGCTGCTTAGCCAGTTGGTCCCCAGCCTGTAACAATGCTTGGGATTTTTCTGTCCCAAGTGCAGGAATCTGCACTTGTCCTTGTTGAACTTAATCAGATTTCTTTTAGCCCGATCCGTCAATTTGTGTAGGTCACTATGTACCCTATCACTGCCCTCCAGTGTATCTACCTCTCCCCCTAGCTTAGTGTCATCTGCAAACTTGCTGAGGATGCAATCCATCCCCGCATCCAGGTCATTAATAAAGACATTGAACAAAACCGACTCCACTTGAAACCGACCGCCAACCAGACATCGAGCTACTGATCACTACCCTTTGGGCCCAACAATCTAGCCAGCTTTCTATCCACCTTACTGTCCATTTATCCAATCCATACTTCCTGGCTGGCTAGAATACTGTCGGAGACCTATCAAAAGCTTTGCTAAAGTCAAGATATATTGCATCTACCTCCTTCCCCATGTCCACAGAGCCAGTTACCTTGTCACAGAAGGCACGACTTGTCCTTGATGAATCCATATTGACTGGTCCTGATCACTTTCCCCTCTTCCAAGTTCTTCAAAATAGATTCCTTGAGGATCCCGACATGATTTTTCCAGGAACTGAGGTGAGGCTAATAGGTCTGTAGTTCCCTGGATTGTCCTTCCCTTTTTTTAAAGATGGGCACTACATTTGCCTTTTTCCAATCATCCAAGACCTCCCCAATCTCCACAAGTTTTCCAAGTTAATGACCAAAGACTCTGCAACGACATTTGCCTCAGCACTCTGATGTATTAAATCTGGTTTCATGGATTTGTGAATGTCCAACTTTTCCCAATAGTTCTTAACCTGTTCTTTCTCCACCAAGGGCTGCCCACATCCCTCCCATACTGTGTTGCCTAGTTCAGTAGTGTGGGAGCTGACCTGTCTCTGAACACAGAGGCAAAAAAAGCATTGAATACTTCAGTTTTTCCCACATCATCTGTCACTAGGTTACCTCTCTTATCAAGTAAGGGCCCCACACCCTCTCTGATCACTCTCTCATTGCTAACATGCCTGTAGAAACCTTTCTTGTTACCCTTCACATCTCTTGCTAGCTGCCATTCCAATTGTGCTTTCGCCTTCCTCATTATACCCCTGCATGCTAGAGCAATGTATTTATACTCTCCCTAGTCATCTGTCCAAGTTTCCACTTTTTATAAGCTTCCTTTTGTGTTTAAACTCGCCGAGGATTTCACCACTAAGCCAAGCTGATCACCTGCCATATTTGCTTTTCTTACTGCGCATCGGGATGGTTTCCTCCTGTGCCTTCAATAAGGCTTCTTTAAAACACTGCCAACTTTCCTGCCAATGAGTTCCCTGAGGAAGTCAGGCTGCTCTCCTTTCTTCCTTTGGTCAGGATCCCAAACTCGAGCATCTCTTGATCACTGCTGCCCAGGTTGCCTCCCACAGCTACTTCTCCTACTAGTTCCTCCCTGTTTGTGAGCAGGAGGTCAAACCGTGCGTGGCCCCTGCTCATTTCCTTCCGCACTTGTACCAGGAAATT